TGATGGTGTTGATGATTGTTATGGTGATGATGATGGTGATGATGATTGTTATGGTGATGATGATGGTGTTGATGATTGTTATGGTGATGATGGTGTTGATGATTGTTATGGTGATGATGATGATGATTGTTATGGTGATGATGATGATGGTGATGATGATTGTTATGGTGATGATGATGGTGATGGTGTTGATGATTGTTATGGTGATGATGATGGTGATGATGATTGTTATGGTGATGATGATGATGATGATTGTTATGGTGATGATGATGGTGATGATGGTGTTGATGATTGTTATGGTGATGATGATGGTAATGATGATTGTTATGGTGATGATGATGATTGTTATGGTGATGATGATAATGATTGTTGTGGAGGTGATGGTGATGATGTTCTTCTCTTCTTCAGCCTCTGAACCCTAACCCAGACAGTCGCTGGAACACATACTTTAAAGACAACGAGGTTCTGCTGCAGATCGACAAAGACGTCAGGTGTTCCTCAACAACACAAAAACTACGCTACACTACACCACATTACACTACACAACACCACACCACACCACACTACACTACACCACACAACACAACACCACGCTACACTACACAACAGCACATTACACTACACTAAACTACACTGTCTGTGCTTCTGATTGAGGATTGCACGATCAGATGAGCATTAGTGCTGGTTTGTGTGTGTGTGTGTGTGTGTCAGGCGCTTGTATCCTGATATGGCCTTCTTCCAGCGGCCGACGGACTTCCCCTGCCAGCTGATCCTGGACCCACAGAATGAGTACGAGACGCTGCGGAGACGAGTGGAGCAGACCACGCTGAAGGCCCAGACAGTCAACCGCAACCGCAGCGGCGTCACCAACGTGAGTGCGTGTGTCATTCTCCATGTATGTATATCTGTGTGTGTGTGTGTGTGTGTGTGGTGAGGGTTCTGACAATTCCTGCACATACGTCACGTGTTGTTGATGTGTGTGTGTGTGCTTTGTTTGCTCTGAGCAGTGCTGGGATGATGCACAGACACAGGTGAGTGATCTGGTGTGTGTGTGTGTGTGTGTGTATGTGTGTGTGCTAGTAAATCATGCTAGAACAGCTTGAGGAATATCTAGGAGTCATTTAACTGAATCAATCTGAGTGATGGACAGACGGAAGCAGAGCTGCTGGTGCTGGACTGCTGTGTGTGTGCGTGTGTGTGTGTGTGTGTGTGT